GAGAGAGAGAGAGAGAGAGAGAGAGAGAGAGAGAGAAGGGGGAGGGGGGGGCTGAAGGAGGGCAAGAGATGTAGTCAAAAGCACCGTGATCATGGAGGGATGATGCATGTTGCTGACTACGGGCTCACTGCTGGAATTAATACAGCACCTGAGTTACGCATCACCTCTTAAACCACCAGTACTTGGCCCAGCTATCGGCCGCAGAAGAAAATAGACTAGAAACATTTCCAGTCGGATGACTTTGGGCGCTCCTGTAGTGGCCCTTACGTCTCCTGAAGTCGCGGCTTGTTTAGGGGCACGCCTTTAGAAAGCACTGGTGGTTTAACTGTCATGATGGTCATGATGATGATCCTCATAACCTGACGGCGGCGGGACGAAGGCACAACAGAATGTATCTTTATCTAGCAGGACAAAGGACTGTCCATTAGGATTCCATCGCAGATTTGTCGCCGTGAACTTTGGGAGAGGTATGTGCACACATGATGTGCCTTCTGGAGACCACATGTATAGCCGTGAGTTGCCCGTGCAGAGAATTAGGCGGGGATGCAGAGGGTCCCAGGCAGCGGCACGAATCGGCTCTTTCTGCAGCAGAACAGCAGCCAACTCCAGGCGAGACACGTCCCAAATCCACATCGCAGTCGGCATGTTGTCGTTTCGTGTGCATACGAACCGACTATCTGCGCTCCACGCGAGCAATCCTGCGGGAAAGAGGGTGGCAACCACATGATGTGAGTCCCCCCCTAGTAAACCGGGTTCAGGGGCAAAGAAAAGAATCGCATTTGTAATATTTGGATACCTTTCTCTCCTTTTGGCTGAAAAATTAAAAATAGATCATGCGGTTTCCGTTCTGTTCACTTTGATCTATTTTTAATTTTTCAGAACGGAAACCGCACGATCTATTTTTAATTTTTCACGCGGCCCGTGGCCCCTCGGACCGCGTGAATTGAAAGAAATGGTTCAAAGAGTCAAAAAAAGTTAAAAAAAAAAATTTAGAAATCACATTTGTATTATAATACTATTATTTGTATGTCACTGCGCTCAGGGAGCGTGGAGAAGAGAGGCAACACACAGCCACATGCTCGAGGCAAACCTCAAGATTCCGTGTTTTTTTTTTTGTGTGTGTGGCTATAAAATGGATGGTTGTTTTTTCTTTTCCCCTTTTTGCCGGGATGGATGTCAAACAGACCTTGCGTTCGAACCACAGGTCTCATGGATGTCAAACAGACCTTGCGTTCGAACCACAGGTCTCATTCCAGAGGAATCCACGAAACAGTGAGAGAATAATCGGAAAAGAAGATAATAAAAGAAATGTGTTGCAATGTCAAACAGACCAATCAACACATGCAAAAAAAAGGCCTGCAAAAATTTTCCGGAAAAAAAACAAAGCCTTTGAAAGTGGAGATTGATACCCCTGTTTCTCAGGAGGATGCAGGGCAAGCAGCGTTAACAATAGGAAAATGGTTTAGATTCTTTAGAATCCTTAGATTCTGGTTCGAAAGGTGTTAAGAGTCTTAAGACATTCAGTCTTGTCCGGCCCGAAGTTCTGTCGGGCCAGAATGTGGGAGAGAAAAGAAGACACTTTTTAGTGGATGCATTTTGACAATCTTTTGCAGGGTTGTCATGCGGGGATCTCCTCCCGGAAACCGGGGTCCCTGCCCCCGCCTCCCGGGGGTGGTCAACCCCCGGACCGGAGACTGGCAACACCTGATTGAGGGTGGGATTTTTCTTACTTTCTTTCTTTATGTCAAGTGACCCCGGCCCCCGTCACCGCTCCCC